CACAAAGGTGGACAGGGACACCCAAAGCTCCTGTTGCTTAAAGGAGAACTATGGGGTCAGGGCTTTTCCCCATAGTTCTCCTAAGGGTCACGGGAGAACACAAACTAGCGTCCTCCCGTCAACCAAACCTCAGTATACCGCGAGCTACAGCTGGCGGTATACTGAGACGCCGGAGCGGATCCCGACATTGCTGTCGAGATCCAGACAGCTGCGGGATTGACAGCTGGCTCTGCCTATCCAGAGTCAGAGCCAGCTGTGCCCGCCCCCTCCCCGTCTGTTCCGCCAGTCAGCGCTGGAGGATCAGACAGGGGAGGGGGGAATCCCTGCAGGGAGCCGTGAGTGACAGTCACGGCTCTCTGCAGGGATAGATTGAGAAGTGAGCGAGCGACGGTATGTGTTCGCTCACTTCCCGATCTACTAAGCCGACCTGTGACAGTTTCATTGTCACAGGTCGGCTCAGATTATGAGGCTGAGTGAAAATCACTCGCCTCATAATTCTCCTTTAACATGTGGCTCCCGGGCCGCTGGCTTTGTGCCGCCTGAAGCACTGGCAGAGCATGACATCTTGGGCACCAGGGACAGGAAAAAATAAAAACAAACAACAACTGTGGTTCAGGATATTTGGCTGCCCTCCTATCTCATCTTACTATATGCAGTGCCCCCTAATGGATACTTGTACAAACTGCTCATTGACACAAGCCGCTCAGTGCCTGTGCACAGCCAGCCAAGGAGGCACTTTCCATGTGAGTGCAGCTCTTCCTAAACTTTGGCTTGTGTTGTGCTAGCATTATTACAACCAATTGTTAGTATGCATTATTATTATTGGATGTCATCAACCCATCTCCTCTTTCTGCCCTCTGATGAGGTGGTTATTTGATCGGATTTTTTCACTGTCAGTGCAGATCACACCTGTGGAAGATACCAGATACTAAGGGGGTTATTCACTAAGCTGCCAAAGGCAGTGCCAGGGGGCCGCACCTAAGGCGCTCTATTTTTACTGTCCTAGGTGAAAAGAAACAGTCTGGAAATATGCCAGGAAGATCTCATCACTGGAGTCCTCATGAAATATAAGAAGGAAACAGTAATAGCCCACCAGACCACCTTTAACTGAAATATACATTTTGGGTAAACATATCCTTTAATTATGGCAGCTGACACCCTAGTCCCATTTAATGATAATAGTAACACTCCGTTACCCTACTGTACATCCATTGAAGCTACCTGAGCTTTATGTAGAGGGAAGAAGAAGAATGTACTAAATGTATACCTATATGCTTTATTGCATGGATCCTATCCCACCATTCATAATATAAGTGATAGATCTACAGCAGGGTGGTCTGTCTGCAGTGTCCCTGAACTGAGACTGTATTCCAGGGGTGGGGTGGAACTAAGGGTGAGAGCTAAGCTACTATTGTAGGCTTTCATATGTTTAGATTTCTATATTTATTGTAGCGGTGAGTGCATATTAAAATGGAAACACAAATGTGGTAAAGTGATCTTTGTGCTTTGTATGTAACATTTTAACTATTTTCACAATTTACATGGTGTAGGCGCACTGTGCATGAAGCAATACATTGTAGAAGATGTCTCTATCCTCATTTTTGGTTGCAGTGATGTCTAGTTCCGCTCTCGCATTTTCTCTTCTGTACAAAATGTGGCTTTTGTTCTCAGTCTGAAGCCAGAATTGTCTGAAATTGGCGTGAAAAGGTCAGAAAACCCCCCAACTAGTGTTATTAACATAACAAAGTCTGGTGACTTTGCTCTGCGCCGATTCCCAGCGTCAATCAAAGCGGCCATTGTCTGAAGTGCTCTCCCACCCTGCAGGTAACATGTCAGGGTCACGTCAGGGTAGGAAAACTCTTGTAGAAAAAAAAATGTGCAGGTCTGAAATGAGAATCGGGCCTGGAAAAAGAACTTTCCATCAGTATGACGAGCCAAACTCTGCAGCATAATCAGTACACCTCCATACACTGTCATCCATCTCATTCTGATCCAAAGGCTGCTGTCAGATAAAAGTGACTCAGCTATGTAAAAATAGGTGGGTGCAGAGTCCTCCAGCATTACAGTGTACACTGCCTGGCCAAAAAAAAGTCACACGCTCAAAGCCTTTAGCTTTGATTACGGCATGCATTCGCCGTGTCATTGTTTTGATCAGTTTATGCAATGTCACATTTATTTCTGTACAGAGTTGTATCCATTTTTAACCAAGATCTTGTAGTGATGATGGGAGAGTGAGACTACTGCGTAAAGTCTTCTCCTGTACATCCCACAGATTCTTAATAGGGTTTAGGTCTGGACTCTGGTGGCCTATGTGTGAAAATGATGTCTCATGCTCCCTGAACCACTCTTTCACAATTTGAGCCCGATGAATGCTGGCATTGCCATTTGGAATATGCCCGTGCCATCCGGGTCATTCAGTGTATTCAGATAGGCAGCTGACCTCAGTTTTGGTGACATAATGTTGCTGAACCAACCTGGCCAACTGGAGCAACCCCAGATCATAACTTATCTAAAGGCTCTTACCTATTTGCTTAGCTAAATCCAGGTGGTGACTTTTTTTTTTGGCCAGGCAGTGCATTTAAAGAGAGGAGGGTTAGACAGTGAAAGGAGCTGAGTCCTCCAGCAGTACAGAGTATTTTAGGAGAGGAGAGTTAGCTAACAGAAGAAGCAGAGTCTTCTGGCAGTACAGGGTATTTCAGGAGAGGAGAGTTATAGAGAAGGAGGAGCAGAGTTCTCCAGGAGCACAGAGTATTTCAGGAGAGGAGAGTTAGATAGAAGGAGCAGAGTCCTCCAATGGTACAGAGTATTTAACATGAGGAGAGTTAGACAGTGAAGGGAGCAGAGTCCTCCAACAGCACAGAGTATTTCAGGAGAGGAATTTTAGACAGTGGAGCAGCAGTCTTCCAAGAGCACCGAACTTTTCAGGAGTGGAGAGTTTAGATGTCGGAAGAAGCAGACTTCAGCAGCACAGAGTATAATATTAGGTGAGAAGAGTTTGCAGAATCAGTGGACACCCAAAACAGCTTACAATGTTTTAGGAAAGGGAAGTTATTTCTGTCTGTGAAGGTTCTCATTCATCCAGGTCATGGCATATCTGTAAAAAATAAGTCATGGACGTTTCACTGGTCATCCAACCAGCTTTCTCAATTCAGAATTACTTTGTACAAGTCATTCTGAATTGAGAAAGCTGGTTGAATGACCAGTTAAAAATGTCTTCAAGAAAAATACAGCAAGTCCAGTTGCCTTGACTTATTTTTTACAGATATGGGAAGTTATTTAGTACAGAATATTTCAGGAGAGGAGTTAGGTCATCTAAGAAGCAGAGTCATTCAGCAGCACAGAGAGTTTTAGAAGAAGAATTAGATACTTGGTTGCTTTAACGTACTTCACAAGCTCTTTGCTTTGATGAATATTGAATACTTACTCCAGTCTCTGCCTCTCCCGCAGCTCCTAATTCTCCATCTTTTGGATCTATGTCCCCCACCCCTTCCTTCTCTTCTTCCCAGCTTTCTCTCTTTTAGTCCTTGTGTACACATATAAAATAAAGGATGTCTTGTTGCCCATAGAAGCCTCTCAGATATCTCTGTTCCTTACTTCATAACATAGAGGGATTAGTATGCTCTGCTATGTATTATTATAAGTGTATTTGTGAAATCTTACTGTATCTCTGATGTGAGTTATGTGTAATTTCATGAAAACCTGGATTTAGCAGACTGGATGGCCTTTTCATACGGGAAATGATGGAAGGGTATCTGGGGTACATCAAGGGCTAGTCTTGGTGCAGAGCGGCGCTTATCTCTGCTCACACCGGTGTGACTTGGAGCAGCTCTCTGCAGGCCTGAGCTGGCGGTATGATTCAAAGAGAGTGCTTTGCTTGTGTTTCAAAGACCGAGGCTTCTGTCTTGTTGTGAGTCGGCCGCCACTCTGTTTTAATTAAGGTAGTTCTCCGCCTGTCAGATGGAGGTTACTGGTAAAGACGGACTGATAACACGGTATTGACCCGGCGTCTGCTGGGACTCATCTATTTACTGGAGTCTGTTAGAAGCTTTCAGCTGGAAATTGGCAGAGAGGAGGGAGGAGGACAGAGTTGGGCTTGGAGGCGACGGAAAAAACGCATTTTCATTCATCCTCATTCTGCACCACTGAATGATTTAACTGCTTGTTGGCGGTCACCTCATTTGTGACACCCTGATTTGAAGGTGGTGCGGGGGAGGCCATCTCTAGCAAGAGGTTAAATCCCTCAGCAGTGTAATATTAATATCGCCCGTGTAGATCAACCCTAAACTGGCATTTGTATTCTCAATCCTGTCAGCCACTTATTTCCTCTTTGTCAACACATATTGTTTTCTGATTGGCCTTATGACATCTTGATGTTGTGGATATCCACACAGGGGTTATTGTCAATTAAAATCAATTTGCATCCGAGGATATGAGTTAGGAAATCATGGAAGTAGGTCTTTCTGTTAGACTATCCAAATCATATATATATAAGCCAAGGGCTGACCTGGCTCACCAACCTCCACCTATATCACTTTGGGTGGGAATACCCTTTAATTAATTCTAAACATACCCTATGGTCTTTTAAAGGTACGCACAACACACATACACCTTGCTTCTGTGTGCGCTTTGTAAATAATTATATATATATATATATTGTATTTGCAAGTGTGCTTAGATTTTGGTTATTACTGCAAATTGGTTGGCCAAACTGTCATAGTGTAATGAAACTCACTTTGGATCCAGCCATGATGAATGATTATTTGGGGTGTACAAACACAGAGTGGTGACTAGATGCAGCTTTAGGCTATTGAAGACATAGTGGCTGAAACAGCTTATTTTCCACTGCTGATTATTCAACGACAAAAAATGGTACAAATGATTCCTGCTCAAATAAGCCTAAAGTAGCAATGGATATGAAGTGTTTGCTGTGATCTGTGGAGGTTGTGCCAGCAGTCAATATTCCCATCGTCAGATGTGTGACTCTGTTTTTCTCTCTGCAGTGTGACCAATACAAGAAAGGAATCATCTCCGGCTCCTCCTGCAAGGATCTGTGTGATGACCACACACTGGTGTTTCATCAATGCCTGTCCTCCTCGCCCACCCACCAGGTACTGTACAAGCTAAGCCCACGTCACAGGGCAGCCACTGCTCCACTTATCAGTTCACTTGGAAAGAGGAACAGAAGACAGAAAAGCCTTCTGCCTCGACACTGCTCCTAATGAACTGATGCACTGTAAGATGGCTGCCTGCTCTTTAAGCCTGCAATTCTTCTACTCTTAGGGCTTGTTCACACCAAATGCAGACCAGATCTGCATGAGTTTCTGCACATGCAGTGCAGTGTGTTATACTGCGTTTTGTGCCGCATTTTTGATGCGTTCCGGGCCGTTATTTTTTTTTTAGTTTAGAATAGTCTTTCAGTGCCTTCCAGGGCGTTTGCATGCATTTTTGATGTGTTTGCATGCGTTCCAGAGCAGGTAAAATAGGGCTTGCTGCAGTTTTTTTACATGCTCTGGAACTGAACGCTGCGGTTTGAACTAGAGCCCAAAATACCATTGGAATACTTTGGACGCAGTTTTCATCCGGTCTGTAACTGCTCTGCTCCTGGCCATAAAATAAGTCACCAGCACTCGATGATATCTGCAAGAAGTAAAGCACTTCTTATTCAATTGTCACATGCGTCAAACAGCCAACGTTTCGGGGCCATGCAGGGTCCCTTCTTCTGGGCGACTTAGTGACCTATGTCGCCCAGAAGAAGGAGCTCTGCTCCTGGAACGTGCTTGGTGTGAACAAGGCCTTAAAGGGAACTATTGGTACCCTGTCAGTCAGGGAGTTTGAGTTGTTAGTGTAGCTTGTCCATCAGTGTAGCTGATTTCCCTATTTTTACCAGATTGCTGTGCTATATTTCCATGTGCTCAAATCTCATATGTTTGTAGAGTCTCATCTAGTGGTTTTGTCTAACAATACATAATAAATGACTGCTGCAAGAAAATCAATTACAAAGACAAGTCACCTAGAGCATTTGTTTTCTACTGACAGAGGTTTAAACAGAGACTTGTACTGAGATAAGAATAAATACAGTCACTGAACAACATTAGGCAGCTGCCTTCTCTCAAATTTTATTGGTATAGCATAATATAAATAATTCACTTTAAAACCATCAATTGAATAAACCAAATTCATAACACTTGCACATTCATCAAGCACCTGTACAGTCATTACAACTCTGGCAGAATCAAATGACTTAATGTCAATTAGTCCCCCTCAAAATTTGAGGTGACAAACCACATAAAAAAGCCGCAACTAGGGAGGGAGGGAGGGGGCTTGCTGTGCTGTGATCCGGACAACTGGCGCTGAGTCCGGGAAAAGCTCTCCTTTATATAGGGTGAGGAAGGACCTTACAGAAAATTCTCTAATCCGCCGATTTTACCGCCTAAATTAACTGCCTGAGGCGATTTAAAGGGCCAGTAGCGCTGAAATAAAAAAACAAAGAAAACCACCACAAGCCACAAAATAATTGGGTTGCCACAATCCCATGTCATTGGGCCTCTTATTTGAGGTGCACTTTCCCATTACAGCTTCCCAGTATGCACATGCCCCATTCTGAGCACTGGCGTATCTCTGTATGCCGGATCACACTTGGCCTTAATTACCGCCAGTTTTACAATCAGTAAACTGTCTGTAATTATTTTGTAAACTGTCACAGCCACTGCAACAGATTCCTAAAGTGGCAGTATTAAGAACTACCTGAATCTGTCACAAGTGTCAATAAAGCTACCAAAACTGGCGACAGGCCTTTTTTTTAACGGTCCATACGGCCAGAAAAGTGTCGTTAAGGCTTTATTAAATCCCCCCAATATTTTTAATATCTACATGTTTATGGGAAAATATATTTGTCTTCATTTACAGGTAACGGACATTTGTATGTCTAATGAAAACATGTATAACTTGTCCACTTGTAGGTCTACCGGGGCCTGTGGAGGGACCGAGAGGTCATCATTAAGTGTGGAGTTGAGGAGAATTTAAAAGCAGAGAGCAATCCAGATGCATCTCCCCGCAGGGAGCTGGTCCTGTTTGATAAACCCACCAGAGGAACCTCCATGGATGAATTCAAGGAGATGCTGCTCAACTTCTTAAAAGTAAGTGTGGCCGAAACTCATTCTATGGGGCAGCAGAGAGTCCCCACATCAAACAACATCATATGACTGAACATGTGTGAGTGTACGCTCCTCTAGTGCAGACTGATACAGTGTGCTCTGAGCAGCACTGCAGATTATGTCAGCACTATAGCAATATATAATAATAATAGCGTGTGATCGTGGTGTAGCTTTAGAGTGCAAGCTTCTGTGATGCAAAGACTGGTGTGCATGGATCAATGTTTTCTGTTCAGCACTGCAGAGTATGTCAGCACTATATAAATGTATAAAGTAATCCAATCTTTCAATCATCTCATTAGGTGAAATCAGATTGGCTGGTACGGTTGGTTGCACTTACTGTATAAGGCAGGGCAGTAATGTATAGTGGTTAGTCTAACTAATATAATTATAAAGTATTTTAAAAGGTTTTCGGGGGGAATTTATCAAAACTGGAGAAGAACAAATCTGGAGCAGTTGCCTACAGCAGGCAATCAGCTTCTCTCTTCAGTTTGTTCAGTTAAGATTTGAAAATGGAAGATAGATGCTGGTGGGTTGCCATGCACAGCTGCTTCAGATTTTGTCTGCTCCAGTTTTGATAAATTCCCCTCTTCGTGTTTTTCTTTCTATAATTGAATCTGCTCCACATTCCCTTTAACTGAACAGACCACTTGGAAATCTCTGCTAAGGATTATTGGTGTCCACAGTGCAGGTACTACAGTGCCATCTGGTGGCAGATCTTGGTGAATGCTACTTCATCATCAATATGCAGGTCACATTGGGGCTGTTCACCTAGCAAAGTAAATATTCACTTAGGAAAGTGAATGTTAATGAATAAATTAAAGCTGTGTTCACCTTGAATTCCCAATCATCTGCTGTGTTTTTTAAAAATTTTCCTTGCACATGATTGTTTTTTTTTTTGTGTATGAGTACAGCCTCAACATATTCACTAACATTCAATGTGTACAGTGACCATTACTAGGTGAGCCCTCTGTATCTTTAGTAAAACAATCTTTAGTAAATACAAGCTCACATTATTTACTATCATTCACTTTGCTAAGTGAACAGCCTCTGTCTCTTTATTAAATCAGCCTCATTTATCCTATTCAAGCACTAAGCTCTGAGCTAAACTTAGGAACAGCTGTATTGTGGTCCCCAATGTTTGAATTGAAAAATCGCTGCTCTTAAAGCAGAACTAATCAGGCAAACCTAAAAACAATTTAAGAGTTTCAGTATGTTATAATAAAGGGCAGTGGCTCCAGTACATAAATACTAGATTAGTCTACAGTTACCTTTTAAGGGCAGCTCCACCAATGGCAGAAGTGTGTTCCAGACTGGACAGGATTTCAAGGAGCTCACAGCTGGATAGGAGGCCATGGGATAGGAGGCCATGGGATGGGGGGCCATGGCAATGCAAGAATCTACCAAGCAGTTAGATTTGCTTGGCATAGACATGTCAGCTGCCATATAATTGCAGATTACCAAACTCGGCAGCTGACTGAGCTTCACAGGCTGCTTTATCATCCAAGGTGCACATGGCCATTGGCTGTCAGCCAAATTCTAGTTCCAGGTTGATGACATCAGCAAAGGTGGAGCTGACTATGCTCATACCATTATGGGGCCGATTTGTAGAGCATGCACTTTAAAACATACATTGTTTTCTTTTAAATATATGTTGCAACTAGAAAGCATATTTTATTTAGAAGGAAAACTACATGCTAACATTTAAATGCATTGTTTTGTCTATCTATCCATTATACAGGCAAAGCTGGGAGATCAAACATCCTTGATGGTTTTGGTCAGACGGATATTAGCCATGGCGGACGTCAATGGGGATGGGAAAGTTTCTCTGGCAGAAGCCAAATCCATCTGGGCACTGCTGCAGCTAAATGAGTTTCTTCTTATGTTATCGCTACATGAGAGAGAGCATACGTCGCAGCTGCTGGGGTACTGCGGAGACCTCTATGTCACTGAGAAGATCCCACATGATTCCCTGTACGACAATCAGATCCCCACCTTCCTGCAGACCCTCTTGCCCTCCCCTGTCCACACCTTGATCCACCAATGGTTTGCTCCTGCCTGGCCAAGGAGGGCCAAGATCGCCATTGGCATGCTGGAATTTGTGGAGGAGATTTTTCATGGGACTTACGGCAGCTTCTTCGTCTGCGAAGCAGGCTTCAAAAACATTGGCTACAACGATAAGTATGACTTCAAGGTGGTGGACCTGCGTAAGGTGGCCACCGAGATGACAATCAAAGACTTCCTCAAAGGCCGGCACTGTGAGCAGAACTCGGACTGCACATATGGGAGCGACTGCACGGCAGCCTGTGACAAGCTTATGAAGCAGTGTAAAAATGAGGTGATCCAGCCAAACCTGGTCAAAGCCTGCAAACTGATGCAGGACTACCTGCTCTACGGTTCCCCATCAGACCTGAAAGAGGAGCTGCAGAAGCAGTTGAGGACTTGTATGACTCTCAGCGGCCTAGCCAGCCAGATGGAAGTCCACCATTCCCTCATACTCAACAACCTGAAGACACTGCTCTGGAAAAAGATCTCGAACACCAAATATTCATAGCGGGGGAAAAGAGGACTTTGATTTTTCTTCTTCATTTTTAATTCCCCAGATTTGCATCTCACTGGCGCAGCTTCCGTCATGCAGCTAACAGTGGGGACCTGCTGTGATCAAGTGTAAAAGGTCTGAACCACCAATCATTTTCGTCAGGCTCTTACACATCTCTGGGGAGCCTGTGACTGCTGAATGTCACTGCTGAATCCAACAAACTATTAACATGTAAATAAAAGGCTTTTATGTGACGCAAGTACTTTGTCCCAATCACTCACTCTACATTTTACAGCTGAACTCAAGGCAAGCGGATACATACACAGTTTAAATACATAAATGTGACTTGTACCTGCCAACAGATTTGCAATTGTATTCAGTCTTGTGATTTAGGCAAGCCAGCTAGACAGAATAGCCTGGCCCTAGACCTCCACTGCACCTAAGCAGTACAGCTTGGTCCAGAACACACACAAAGCCTGCTGATTGGACAGTAAAGGAGCAGAAGTACATTAATTGATGAGGTCATCCCTCTGTTCTTCTCCCCCCTGTAAGCATATTCATAGTATTAAATTCACAGGCTTGTGCACACCAAAAGAGACCCATTTGACTAAACCTCCCTCTGCTAGCTCAAGCACTGCCGTACAGAGGGTTGTACAAGCAAATATAAAGACAGATTCATATCTTCAGGTCAGCGTTCATTTACCTTCAGTATATAAAGTGGAAGTTAAGTTGTTAAAAAAAACCTCCTCATCAGCAGGCGTTCTATATCACAAGAGACTGGTTAAGTCTCCTCTGCCATAAAAGCATCTAGCTGCATGTGAGCATTTTGTTTCTCCCTGTACACTGAACAGTGCATGTGCATCTCAGTGCACAGGCCCAGCATGCCAAGATGAAGAATCTCCTGAGGGCATGTGTGGGAGTTACGTCATTGGGGGCCGATAAATCAAGCAGCCGAAATTCGAAACCTGGAGGACCAGGAGAAGATGGAAGCACAGGCGAGGGAAAAGCAAGAGCTGGAGCGGATCGATTTGGCAGGTACGTCTGTCCTAATGTGCTATTATGCTGTGCATACTACACATTATGGCTAATTATGGCCCCAGCGTGCCTGTTTGAATCTTTTCCCCCAGATACTTTTCTTCCACTTTAATGTAACATCTGCCACCATATAAATCTGCTCAGAGTAGAAATATTTTACCTGTTTGTAAAAGTTTTTTTTATTTTGCCTTGCCATGAAAAATCAGTCATTTCCATTGTGAATGTGTCTTAAACAATGCGACTACAATGCATCCCTCCCCCCTCCCCCTAGCATTACACAGCTTGTCTGTTAGCGTGTGCACTCCTGACAGTTACTAAAGCATTGCTCTTGACTTTTTCTTAGCATAGCAGTGGGGGGTTATTATTTATAAACTGTATTAAAGAGATTTATATATCACCAATTGGACATTCACATCATTCCTTGCCATCAAGGAGCTTACAATCCAAGGTCCCTATCTCACATGTGTACATACTAGGGATGCAAAATTTAATTTGTAGACTGCAAACCGAAAATAACATTTTTGTCAGGCTGAAGCCGACTTTTTTTTTTCCAACCTTTTTACATGTTTTTATTTTTATGTCCTCAGTTATTTACAAACTGAGGACATCATTTCTGATCACTGCGTGCTTGTAAACCGCTCTGCATCCTGACTCGCTTGTCACAGGTCGCGTGTAGTGGTGCGGGAGGAGAGCTCGGCCTCCTGTGACACCTCTCCCCGCACCGCCCCTCTTGGCATCCTCAGTGCTGTCTCTTCCTACACAGCTCCGCTTGGACCACTGAAAGCTTCTCTCCTCCCCTCTAGGTGCCGGCAGCTGGATCGTTTGTGTCCCCTCAGATCCCTGCTGACACCGGCAGAGGAGAGCAGCAGGCATCGGAAGGGACCGGCGTCCAGCAGAGAGGAGAGACATTTTGGTGCATCCCTAGTACATATATATATATATATACACACACACACACACACACACACACACACTAGGACCAATTTAGACAGGAGCCAATTTTCCTACCAGCATGTCATTGGAGTGCGGGATGAAACTGGAGTACTTGGAGGAAACCCACGCAAAAACAGGGAAAACATGCTAACTCCACGCAGATAATGTACTTACTGGGATATGAAAGGTAGACCCCCAGTGCTGTAAGGCAGAAGTGTAAAGTAAGGTGACAGGCAGTGTATGCCGTTAAAGGGCACTGCAGTCGTCATTGAGGACACACTTTGAGCTATGAACAGAAATACAGCTTACCTGGAAATTCTTGATTTGACTTTTACGGTACATTTTTCACAAGCTTGGTGTTGCATATTTCCTGGCCATACGGCCTCTTCAAATATGTATGTGCTCGCTCCAGTGGCCTTCAAACAGCACAGCTCCTGAGAGAGAAATTGCTGACAGTAACTGACTGTACTTACTCGTTATGGGCCGAGCTGACCTGAAGACTTGAAGCACGGTAAGAGGAAGCAGTAAAGAACAGTCACCATGCTGCACAACGTATCAGAAAGCACAGCCTACTTACCGGTATATAATTGGTAATGAAGGCAACCTTCACGTACAGCACATGTATTTGTGTACACTACACAGAGGTTTGTATTACCTGTACACATTAATGAGGTTATATGCATTACACTGGTCACATTCTCACACAGGCACACACATATTTATCGATTCCTATTAAGTGTCGCACCAAGATATCTATCATCCAGCATAAATACCTATTTGCCCAGCGTGGTCATCTAATGAGCAGTCACTTTGCCACAATACGGGACTTATTTTTCTAGAGAGAACATCGTGCTCTTAATCTCGAAAAACATTCATTGTGTGGAGCGGCAGTTGATGCGTATCGTGGCACTTGAAATGATTTCTATGGTAACTCTGAATGCTAGAGGAAGTTCATTGTGAAAGGGCAGCAATTTATAAAGCCACTGGAGTACTCGAAAGGGGCTGGCAATGCACTGAAGCACGGTTAAGACCTCTCAGGCAGTTGCAGATTTGACGTCATGAGCGTATTACGCTGATTAACCAGGATGGACTCTGGAGTGGGGAACAGAAGGTCACATTTAGCCCCGGGAGGGATGTGCGTAATTTTACCATTGTCAGACGTGAGATAGATAGAGGAGTCTGATGGGATGTTGTGGTTTCTGCACTTTGCTCCTTACACTGATTACTGAATAAGGATGTTAAACATGTTAAAATTATTGGCTGACAATCTCGTGTTGGTGGGAACCTTAAGACGCCACAGGACAGATCGAATAAGGAAATAGTATAGGACAGGTCATTAAACCTTCAAGACTAGCCGCTCCTCTGTAGAATATGAACGTTCAGGTTACCCAAGCATTTATGTTTGTGCCTGAGGCTGGATATAAAGATATCTTTAAATTGGCCATGTACTAGTAGGCTTTGGTATGAATATTATATAAATAATCTCACATTTGAGAATACCATCAGAAACTTCACATATATCGTTCAAAATGTTGCTCGGTTTTAATGTTGGATTTTGGAATAAATGGAGATTTCTGAATAAAAATGATTTTTTTAACAAAATTCCTCTGACCAGCTTTACACAGTCCGCTTGTCCAGCTGTCCTCTGATGTCCCAGGCTGGTTTAGACAGAGAACGCTTAAAGGAGAACTATGATGTTAGGGCTTTTCCCCATAGTTCTCCTAAGGGTAACGGGAGGACACAAACTAGCGTCCTCCCGTCACCCAGAGCTCAGTATACCGCAATTCTGTCTGGATCCACCCAGCTGCGTGAGTGACAGCTGGCTCTGCCTATCTAGAGGCAGAGCCAGCTGTACCCGCCCCCTCCCCCGTCCATTTCGCCAGTCAGCGCCGGAGGATCGGACAGGGGAAGGAAATCCCTGCAAGGAGCCGTGAGTGACAGTCACGGCTCTCTGCAGGGATAGAGAAGTGAGCGAGCGACGGTATGTGTTTGCTCACTTCCCGATCTACTGAGCCGATCTGTGATAATTTCATTGTCACAGGTCGGCTCAGATTATGAGGCTGAGTGAAAATCACTTGCCTCATAATTCTCCTTTAAGTCACATTGGTTGCTATGGAGGACATTTTATTCCACTTTAAGAAAATGAAGATAGCAGACATTGCCTGCATGTAGTTTTCAACATTTATTCTGGTTGGAAACATTTTATTGACACAAAATGGCAGGCACTGGCCAGAAAGATAGGTGCACTCTGTGTTTTGCATGGACTGTAGCTATTTTGGTTACTTTCTAAATGTCCTTATACTTGATTAGTGTCATAAATGGGGGGAACAAGGAACTGCTATACCCAAGGAGAATGAAAGAGTACCTGTACTGTAGTAATAAACATAGTGCTATGCAGGAGGGTGACAGGAAGAGGAAGTGCTCTGCTTGATTCCAATGTACAATGACAAAAAAATAAATGCATAAAAGGCTGGACCGTCATCATTATTTGGAAAAAAACTTGGGGGAAATGTACTCTGGGCTGGTGGTTTTTGGCACTCTTACCCCTTCCTTGCAGCCTCTTAGGAATTGAAGATGAAGCTTCAGGCAAAACGTTTTCAGGATAGAACATAGCAGGACTGGGACCTCTCAGCATTTAATTGTTACTTCATCTATGTTTGTCCCCAAGCTTAGGACAGTTGAATGGACCTTTAAGGTACCCAGATTACAATATGTCTTACTACCATACACAACATTTATTTGCAATTTACTGTATAAAATACAAAGACTTTATCATTCTCATGTGCAAATATTGTAACACTCCATCATATATATTAAAAACATCCTCAGAAAGTAGTCATCCCCTACCATCATCTGTTGGTTTTCTTACAGATATTCAGATCATTTCCTTTTCATTTGCAGTTTTACTCAATTGGGTAATTGTTGAGAATGTTTGTCATCAAATTGATGATGAATTTGGGTAGGTGCAGCCCTCAGCGGAATCAATATGGCCTATTCTGAATTTTGCCTACTTCTACTACTACCACTGCTGGCCCAATAGGCAGAAGAGAATCAACCAAGTCAAATCAGTGGAACAGACGACAGATGTGCCGGTAAAACTAGGGCAGAGGTTGAAATAATTTTGAATTATGCTTCTCCATTCTTCATAGGCGATCTGCATTCATGTTAAACAGACATTTGTAATATATAGCTAGTTAGAGGAAATCTACCTAAGCGAGAGAAATTCTCCTCTTAAACAGTCCCCAGAATAGGTGTCCCCGTTGTTACATTTCCCCTCACCCCTTGTTCTGG